TATATATATATATATACAAACCCGATTCCCAAAAAGTTGGGACACTGTACAAATTGTGAATAAAAACAGAATGCAATGATGTGGAAATTTCAAATGTCAATATTTTATTCAGAATACAACATAGTTTACATATCAAATGTTTAAACTGAGAAAATATCATTTTAATGGAAAAATAAGTTGATTTAAAATTTCATGGCATCAACACATCTCAAAGTTAAATATATGAGTGTCACAGCAAAGGGTCTGAATACTTAGGACCATGTGATATTTCAGTTTTTCTTTTTTAATAAATCTGCAAAAGTCAACAATTCTGTGTTTTTCTGTCAATATGGGGTGCTGTGTGTACATTGAGGAAAAAAAATTTACTTAAATGATTTTAGCAAATGGCTACAATATAACAAAGAGTGAAAAATTTAAGGGGGTCTGAATACTTTCCGTACCCACTGTATATATAGTATACTAAATACCTCAAAATTAGGCATAATTTATCATCTGTAATACCATTGTGTAACCATTAGATGGCTGTATAGCCCTATATATCCATGACTGTATACCCTAGTTACTGGAAACTATTTTCAGTCATAATTATTTGCATGTATTAGGTTTTGCATTTGGATATATATTTAGGCATTATTAAAGACTACTTTTTGTCAAAGTTTGTTTGAAGATCAAAAACAGATCATTCATCTGTACTATTCCTTAGAAATCATCTCAACAATGTAGTGTAGTAGTAGATAAATACTGATAAAAAAATTAATTAAAAAATCTTTATATATCATTTTATATCATTAAAATGAAATTGGAAGCCACTAACAGATATTCACATCTACACTGGCAAGGCAACACTGACACCTTCACTTCCAGGTCAAGAAGCTGTCAATCAAAAACTCAGTAGCCAATGAGAACACACCACTGCCAGCCCCACCCCCACAATAGATTTGTGCCAGAATAGTGAATGAAAACTTCAGAAGCATAAATAAAAACTTCAGAAGCGTAATAAACTCTGGAAGCGCATTTGTAAGTACAGATCAGCGAATGAAAGAAGAGAAAACAGTTGCAAAACATGCAGTGTATTAAAAACGAAGTAAAAGATTTTGCTTGTATTTCTTTACTTTTTTTTCAGTTTCAAAAACATTTTTATTCAGTTTCAATTTATATCGTCATAAGTTTCTTGAAAAATTACATTCCTTTTAATTGGCACAAAGGTAATTCCATACTTTAGTGGCAAGTTAATGGAGTGTTGTTTGTTTTATTCCCAAAATCAGCCAGTAATCTTAAAAAATGTAAGCATTGACGCACCATTATCAGGGGTGGTGTTTCCATATGGGAGCATATGCCGCCAATTTTTTACAGTAGTCTGCTGGTTTATAATAAATGTTTGCTGACAGCCCACAGTCGGATATGGTTCATAATCAATTCCACACACTACCCAAAATGTCCTTCCCCACAATAAGAAATAAAAGCAATACACACCACTCTCAATAACAGTTGCAAATTTATTAATATTTTCAATTAACACATTAACTATACAAATACATTGACATTTATCAGATGCTTTTATCCAAAGTGACTTTTAAAAGAGGAGCATTCAGTTCAGTTCATGATTATTTGTACTCTTTCTAAAATTAACCAAGGTTTAACCACAGCATTTGCAGTAAAACCATAGTAAAAACAATATCAACCATAGTTTTAATGCCAAGCTCTTTCATGAAACTCTAGATGGTGCAGCCTAATGGGTTCCTAAAGGGATAGTTCACCCAAAAATGAAAATTGTGTTATTAATTACTCACCCTCATGTCATTCCAAACCCACATGACTTTCGTTTATCTTCGGAACACAGATTAAGATATTTTTGATGCAATCCGAGAGCTCTCTGACCCTTCATAGACGGCAACACAACTGTAATGTTCCCAGGTCCAGAAACGTAGCAAGGACATCGGTAAAATAGTCCATGTGACATCAGGGGTTTAACTGTAATTTTACGAAGCTACGAGAATACTTTTTGTGAGCAAAGAAGACAACATGAAGCGGAAGCAAGCGCATGTGTCATTATACTCTCCATAATGGCTGTGCACCGCTGCAGACGGGATGAGGAGAAGAGTTGTTGTTATTTTTGTTTTCTCATCGAGAATATTAATTTTCTCAGCAGCAGAAATGCATAGCATTTCCATGCTGCAAATTTTAATTTGGTCAATTAATATCAACAGCAGCAGTATGTACAATTAAATAAGATGGCAATGTTGCAAAAAAAATATTACAGCATAGTAGCATGCAAAGCAGACACTGCATTAAAATAAAATCACTTAAGTGTCTTGCTTGAATTAGTTGCAGAATTAGTTCTGGGTATATGATACCACAACTACAGGGTTTAGAGTGATTTATGCTTTCGATCCCATCAGATCAAGACCCTGTCATGGCCAGTTCAATCTCCAGACCTGAAAACATCTGGAATGTGATTAAGAGGAAGATGGATGTTCACAAGCCATCAAGCAAAGTCGAGCTGCTTAAAGGTGCGCTAAGCGATTTTTGCCAAACGATGTTGATATTTGAAAGCACCAAAACAAACACGCCCATACACCAACAGGACCTCGCCCCTTTTTTGATATCTCCACCCCACACATACGTACACAACCCTGGCATAATGACGATCTCAGAAACAAGCGAAGATGAAACACAAGCATATTCAAACAAAAGCCAACACAGATAGGTTGTGTGAAACAATGCAAAATCAGCCTATCAAAAAGAAATAACGCAACCTCGGCGTCCGATTCGAGCCCTTCACGCTCCTTGAGTTCTCTCCACCGCTGGAAAGCTGCTGCGATATTTACATTTATAGTCGATCTGCTAATATCCGTCCTGTACACTCAAATTGAGCACTCTCTTCTCACTATCATTACAAGACACGCCCCCTTACTGCTGTTTAGCTGCAAGTGTGTTTTGGGACATGGTCCGACACTGCGGTCAAAAGGGTTTTTCAAAAATTGCTTAGTGCACCTTTAAATGTTTGCACCAGGAGTGGCATAAAGTCACCCAACAGCAATGTGAAAGACTGGCGGACAGCATGCCAAGACGCATGAAAGCTGTGATTGAAAATCAGGGTTATTTCACCAAATATTGATTTCTGAACTCTTCTTACTTTGTTCAGACCCATCACCTTTGAATGAGTGAATGTTTAACTAAGTTAAAACATTAGTGTTGTGTTAAAAATTAATATAAACTTGTATTCTTTGCATTATTTGAGGTCTGAAAACGCACAGTGACTGCCACATTTCAAATGAAAAAGCAAAGTCCATTTGCAGCTATTTCCCATATCTGCCTGTCATATTTAAATAGCAATATGAATTACCACATTTGCTTTTTCACTCTCTCTGTGTCATTCATGTAACCTGCCAAAACTCAAATGTAATCGCTATTCCTTTTGCATTTGAATTTCCTATGTCTACACGGAAAGCTGTCAATCAATGTGAGGGGCGGGACTATACTATGGGGCGTGTTTGTATTGGGAGGTGATGTCATTCACAAACGACCGTGCCGAATCTTTGATCAATGGAGGTAATTGGTAAAGGCTCCGCTAAAGGCACCTGCTAATCAGTTCGTGCCTGTGTCAACGAACAGACGACCTTCTTGGTGCAATACATAATTCTGTCTTTTTTACCCCAAATGCAGCGATTATACCCTCCTAACAGCGGGAGCAACAACGATACGCACAATACTCGATACTCTTTTCACCTGTCTCAACATCTCTCACTGTTTCTCTCACTCCGATTGATGCAAGTGAGTAAACAGACAGTGCAATTCTACACTTACAGTACAGTTCTACAGTTGCACTTACAGTACGTTTTATTCCTTTCTGTTAATCTGTAACAGAGCTCGTCACACCTGCCTCAAGATTTTTTTTTTTTTACTGTTTGCACTCCGATTGGTTCACGTAAGCAAACAAAACAGTGCCAATCTATATGTATTTACACATTTTCCACCTTTATATTTTATATTTTAACTGTTTTAGTCCATTATGGAGCACGTGTCCTGTGGGCAGTGGCACCAAGGGCTTGCGCAAGTCTCAAGATCTCTCATTGTGTACAGCCACTGGACACTGCGATTGATGCACATGATTTTTAATAGTAATTCACCTTGGCTGTGGCATGTTCTGTGACAGCTGCGCCTAGATTGATGGTGTAATGTGAAGTCTCATCTAGGGCAGGCAGAGTAGGAGTAGCAGCATTTTCTGTTTTATCACATGCATCAATTGGAGTGTAAACAGACAGAGATCTTGAGGCAGGTGCTCTATTATAAGATAGGAATAAGATATAGGTGGCGAATAGGTAAATACATGTAGATTTGCACTGTCTGTTTGCTTATGTGCCTCATTCGGAGTGCAATAAACCAATCAGAGTCTCATCTCCCATCCACTTTAAAAGCCAGTTGCGCTCGCGCCATGACGGGTTCGCTATTTACCTGGCGGAATGTTTCATTTTTTAAAATGTTTGTGTGCTGCTGCACGTCCCTGTGTGTGTGTGTAATTAAGCAAAGTGTACGCGCGTTGTGCACCCGACCTATAGGCGCATATTACAAACGCGCTCTTTAAATAACAAAGAGAAAATATTGTGCCAGACTTTAGACCAGGTTTGAGTTGGTCTATGGCGTAATCTATTTTCAGTTCCTCAAAATAACAATGCGCCTGAACACACCGCTTTTTTAGACCAGCACGCACATGGGCGCATGGGTGCAAATGCATTTGCTATTTAAACAACTCGACACAGGACGGTAAAAGGAAAACTGCGTCAGGCTGAAATTAGCAAGAAAACTTGCGGCGCATTGCGCCGGGTGTATGATAGGGCCCAGAGAGAGTGAAAAAGCAAATGTGTTAATTAATTTTACTATTTAAATAAGACAGGCTTGTAAGACATGGGAAATACAGTTGCAGTTGGACTCTGCTGACAGGTGTTTTATATATATTTTTTGTATAAAAAAATTATATATATACCCCAAATCCTCCCTCCCCCCGCACCCAAACCGCTGAATTCTCACTCCAAGTTGAACTCAAAAGTTGGCAGGCCTGTGAATAAGTTAAACTATTATGGCCAAACCGTCACGCCAATAAACGCACAGGCTGAAAGCCTGTAATAAACACTGAAAGCCAAGATTAAACTGTATTATAGCAAACTGACAGGATTTTACCATCTTTGATTTTACCGTTTTGATCCACGTCCTCAAGAACCAATTTTGTCTAGTTCAATTCCGTATTTACTGCTCAATGTTGTGAGAACATACTTGGACAAAACCCTTCAGTTTTAGAAGAACACATTCCAGTCAGTTTCAAAAATCTCTCTCCTCTTCTCTTCGAATAGTTTTATTGTATTTTCAACACATTTTTGTCATGAGCACCAAAAACAGCTAAAGCGCCATTCCTGCTGTTTCCAGTTTGTGCTCACCACATTCACTTGTCCAGTTTTAAAGGAACACTTTCCAGACAGTTTAAAAGTTGTCCCTCATCTGCGCTTCGATTAGTTTTCTCCTATTTTCCACACATGTTCCCATCTTAAGCACCACAAACACGGATTTCGTCTCACACAGAACCATTTGCGTTTGAACTCACATGACTTGCTGCATGTTCCCTTTCACGTCCTCCACAATCCTAAACCAGCACCGTCTGGTTACTTATTACTGTGATGAACCCAAATTGGGTTAAATCTAGGGTGACCATATTTTAGTTTTCAAAAAAGAGGACAGTGGGGGCAGGATACA